GTAGTGTGTGTGGGTAGGAGAGAGGAAGGAGAGAGAGAGAGAGAGAGAGAGAGGTGGTTTGAGGGGGTGTTGAGGTGTGACCTATGATTCTTTGATCACAGAAAAATTAGATGGCAAAACAGAAGATATTATTTCCTCACTAAATAGATCCGTTGAGGGATGCTCTCATAACACATATGCTCAGCTGACTGTTTAACTAGGAATCTGCTAATGTTGTATACAGGATTTTACCTTGAAAAACATTTATGTAAGTACTTTCTTTTTGCTTGGAATTTTAATTGATTCAACTCTTGAAAAAAATGACATTGAATGTGACCTTTTAAGTGCAGATGCTACATGAAGTTGTATGATTCTCCATCAAAATTGATGACAGAGGAAAGTGATGAGATGTCAAAGTTGCCTCCTTCACAGAGGAAGAAAATGAGACAAAAACAGAAAAAGGCGGAAGCTCGTGCCAAGAAAGTAATCTTGCTAGTAGTTTGTAGTCATAGATGTTGTTCTGTTGGGATGTTTTCCTTGAAAATTCTCTTTGATATTCCACAGGAAGCTGAAGAAAGAAATGAGGAGGAAACAACTTCTTCTGGCATGTCTAAATCCGGCAGGCGGCCAAATGTCAGACTTGTTGATTTAGATCCTCATGGGGAAAAGCTCATGCAGGTTCCTTAATTCAAACAATTATTGTTCATCTGAATTCTTTTTTCTTTTGGCTTTGCAATGCAACTGCTTACTGGTGTTCTCACTAGGTAGTTTAGAATGGATCTTCCAAGAAAATCTGCATTGGTTTTTATGATACTGCTTAAACAACTAACTGAAGTAATGCTTTCTAAGCAGGTCGAAGATCCACTATTGGAAGCTACAAAATATTTGAAATTGCTTCAGAGCAACTCTGCTAATTCATTGGAAACTCATATTCTTTCTTTTGAAGCAAACATGAGAAAACAGAAGATTTTGTTAGCATTTCAGGTAAATTTATAGTTAATGCAGTTCTTTAATATCTCACTTACTGCTTAAAATGTTATTATGCTTGAATTACTGTATAAAACATGGTTCTCACAAATGAGCTGTTCCAAATATGATATATGTTTATCTACTTACTACCAACCAGGCAGCAAGCCTTTCTTAATAGGGTTTGTTCAGCATGTGAATTAAGAATGTCTCCACAACTTATGAAAGAGTAATTTGTAGTCACCCTCCATGCTTGATATCGCAAATAAGATTTCAGATATAGTCAAGAAGAATGGATGAAATAAAGAGTTTTGCTTGATACCCAGAATTCTGTTGATGAAATAAATCTAGAATTCTGTGGTTAAAGCTAAAAACAAGCAAAGGAAACTGTAATTTTCTTAATTGGGTCCAAACAAGTTTAATATGTATGCCTGCTACCCATACATTGTTAGTACTTCTAACATCTTATGTTATCTTAAATTGAACTTTATGCCAGATGTTGTATATTCATGTTGCAAAGATTGTTCTTTGATCTCCACCTTTGTTATTGTTCTGACTTCAAAATTTCAATTCTTCAGGCTGTTAAGCAGCTGATTAAATTGAATGAGAATGATCCAGATAGTCATCGATGTTTGGTATGTCTTGTCAACTAGCAGATTTTCTTAATTTAACTTTTGCTTCTAAACTGTCACTTGTCCCAATTAAAATGAAAAGGAACATATTCAAATTAGAAGCACTGATGACTGATTTGTCTACATCTTTGTATAGTGTTTATAGTCTTATAATCTTTATTTATTTCAATCATATTTATTTCAGTTAGCCGAAACATTTTATTTACATTTAACTATGGTCTTGATTATAGCCTTTGCTTGTGTTCATATTGGTCAGGTTCTCATTTTCTGTGACAATCAGTTAGCATACTTTTATATTTTAAGGAACTACACATTGACCTTAGAAAGGGATAAACTAGCAAAAAAGTTCTAATTTCAGAGAATGCAAGTTTTCACTGAAAACTGTAGGTTTGATGTTGTGGTAATAGAATGGTGGTGAAATTTTCTTGTGGAGGTTGCTTGAATTTGAGAGGCAATTACTACCAAATTTGAGCTGTGTTTATAACATGATTGAGTTTTTGGCTATGTCGAGTCTTTGTTGAGACATCCGAGTTGGTTAGTGCATTATTGCACAAAATATTCAAGGCCACATGTGAGCGTCATGTACATCATTTAATGTAATGAAAACATATTCTAATTTTTGTTAAAAAAAAGTTTTTGGCTATGACTTTAGTCATTAAACATTTGATACAAGTATTAACAAGTGATTTGGTTCTTTTCAGCTTGTTTTCTGTAGTGATGATAATAGGACCTGACTGCCCATAGGCAACACACATGTGGCCCATGGGTTGAGCATGGGACTATATTTTTCTAAACCTGGATCTGCATCCAGATCCAGGTCTGATCAGAACTTAGCTATTTTACTCAATACTCCGTGCATACGTTTATTTCTAAACCTGTGCAACATATATCTTGTGATGTCAATGATGTCTTTGCTTTTTTTCATCTGTTTGCTTGAAGATTTGGGTGGTCTTTAAATTTCTATTTTTTATAAATTAATTCGTTTTTGTAACATGGAATTTTAATTATATATATATTAATATTAATATAGCAGTTTTTTTTTCACGACACCTGAACACATCTTGGACCTGTGCTCAACCTTGGCTGATTCAGACTTGATTTCCTGTTACCAGAACCCAGCAACTAAATGATAGAAACAAGCCTGATAATCATGTTTCTGTATATTATTTTTGACTTCTATAATTTTTCTGAGATCAAGTTATCTTGAGTGACTATTCACCTGATGACTCATGAAAATTGGAAGTTAACTAATTTTCTAAGGTAGGATGATTGATAATCCAATCACAAAGATAAACCCTTTTCTTGTGTCTTCCTATTGCCTTGCTTGATTGTCTATTAATCTAAGCCTCCTATGCTTTGTACACCGTCTAGGATGCTTGTAACATTAAGGTGTGCTACGTTTCCTCACACCATGTGGATCCCATTCTTCATGCTTGTTTCCTGCATGCTCTGTTGCTTTTCCAAACTTGTTTCTTCTATTTTTTGTTCATAAAAGTAACACTAATCAGAAATTTGTCCTAAGACATCCTATGCTAATTGTTCTATAAATCTTAAAAGTACTTAACAAGAATCCTAATATCACTTTTACATCTGGAGTTCCTGTCATAATGTATGGAGCGGGATCAAGCACATTGATCACACCTGAAGAAAACTCTAGGTGTGTAATCCTATCTGGCCTATATTCCTGATTTTTATAATGCAAGCCTTTCGGCAAGGACTGCTTAGTGCAAGAATTTTAGATGAACATGATATACACTAATCACTTCACATCTGAATTATGGGTTTGGCATCTCAATGGTGGAACGGATGAAGCTGCTATTCTTGTTGCAAATTTCAGTAGCAGAAGCAATGCTGGAGAGATAATTTGAAGACAAAAGTGGAAGGAAAAAGGTGGGGCATGGGAATCATTATTAATTTCAAAGTGCTATATAACCTGTGGGCACGTACCCTGTACAAGGGACTAGAAGATCAGCTACAAGTGATTGTAAATTAGAACCAGAAACAACTATAATATGTGCCAAGATTGGATGGGGTCAGACCGAGGCATTCCTGAATGTATATTATGACCCTCGAGGACAGTTTATATCAGAATGTGTGTTGCAGAAACTTCTTCGTTGTTTGATTTGGAATCTAAACACCTAAAAAAGAGGATCCAATTTTGTCCACTGTTGATCACATCATAGCATCAGACATCTTATGTGGTTCTGACATATGCAAGAAAGCTTTGTTTCTATTTCTTTTTTATATAGACATATATCAGATAAACATGAAGCATAAATGGCCTTCAACCTCCTTTCACCACTTACAGTTTTACCTTTGTAATCTAAAACTTTTAGCATCTGTTTTGGCCCGGTAGATTGTCACGGTTATTATTTTTGGTAGATTGATCCTGTGTACCATTTCACAGATAAAGTTCTTTCACAAAATTAGCAGCTTTACTTCACCAGTTTCAGACTCAGAGAAGCTCGTTTGGAATGTATTAGAAGCAGAACGACCACAGATAAGGTTGTTGATGTCTGTTTTACACTCAAATTCACATTGTTCTTGAAGTTGTTGATAGGTTTCTGGTTCTCATCTCTTGCAGTCAGTTGAATGGAAGGTCACTAATTGAAGCTAACAAATCTTTCCTTGAGAAGCACAAAGGTTTCTAAATCATTCCTCTTAGTGTGGATCACAAATTGTAATATTGTTAATATCATTTCTTTGATGTTCCAGATTCCTTAATCCATAGAGCAGCTGCTGCTGAAATGCTGTATGTTCTCGAGCCAGAGAAGAAGCTGGAGGCAATTAAATTAATTGAAGATTCAAAAAACAACATAGCAGTGGGGTAAAAATGCTCAAAACTTGTTAATGATTTATATACTTGATGTCACTGCGATTATGGGAGCAACTTTGATATGTTGCTGGATTTTTAAGCAGAAATGGGGCACTCGGTCCGGTCAGCGTATGGAAACTCCCAGACTGTATTACCGTCCACAGATTGCTTGAGACAGTGTTTGACGATCAGGGTGCTGCTTCTAGTAAGTACATGAGTATTAGTCAATTAAGCCTTCAACGCATACGAAACTGATAGTCATCTTGGAGTTTGGAATTTTTAGTTTAGTATATACCAAAATATCCTTCTTCCTGATAATTCTGTTCAACTGCAGGATGGAAAGCACGGTGTGCAGAATACTTTCCATGCTCGACACACTTTGGAGGCTGCAGAAACTCCACTCTTACTTGCACTTTAAATAACAATTTAAAAAATTTGCCAGAAAATGGGGTTGCCGCAAGCCAAGATGACAACCTCGCTGATTCTCATTCCTTGAATGGAGAGTTACATGCATTTAAGGACCTGAAAATTTCATAATATAGTCCGTTCTTTTGTCTAACCCTACAGGTGGAGACAAAAAGCTTAAGAGACGTCGATAAACTGAGTTTTCTGCACTCATTACAGTGACAATCCTTGATGAAGAGAAAAACGCATGTCCTTGCCGGAGCACTGCATTTTGTTGTCTCATAGCATTACGGATTGCATTATTGGGTTAGGACTCACATCTCGAGCAAATGCTTCTCTCTGGCTTGTTCCAAGATTGTATTGTTAATTATCATCTCATGAAAATGGTGGAAGATTTTCTCTTACGTCACAAGATCAGCTATTTCTTGATTATGAGTTAAGTGGCAAAGATATGAAAGCGGTCAGCTAGCTCTGCAACCAATGTTTTCAAGTAGTTGGCGTATAGTTTCGCATCTGATTATATTTTGTACTCCTTACGGACCATAAATTTTGTGCAATGTGTTTTTATTGAAGTACAAATTGTTTTGGCACAAACGACTCGTGACTCCGTCATTCTCCGACAGATGAATAATGTTGCGTTTTCATATCTGATTGATGATGATAAAGTGATGATAAAGTGATCTTTCCTAGTCTCTCACAAGATCAAGTAATGCTGTGAAGTTGGCAGTTTGGTTTCAATCATATTCTTTTACTCTGTGTCTTGTGTTGTTGTGATTTGTATTTGTATAACGTGTGTCCTCAACCTAACATTAATATCTATAAATATATTTATATATAGAGAGAGAGAGCGAGAGATTACGGCTCATGCAAATGTCAAGTGGGTCAGTTCACCCTCTTTATGGATCAGCAGAAGCATCTGTTCACGATAGTTCATTGGATTAAAAACTATGGAGTTCTGATACCTGCTGGAGATGATGAAAACTCACTAAAAATAAACGACGTGATTCTTTGAATCAGGGGATGAACAATCCCCTCTTTTTGTCTGCTGCCAATCCCATGTCTCAAGGCGTATGGCAACGCTGATGACTTGTTTAATCTTACCCAAAGCACGAAGTCATTCATTGACAAGTTTTGGTCGATCGGCTCTCACTTGTTGTGCTTATCTTTAAATCAATGTAGCTTTTCTTTATCTAAATGAAAAGATGCCGATTAGGGATCCGTGTGCCTCTACATTATTGTATCTTCTATGATACATATTTAATGGAAGAGCCCCCCGTCGTCACAGAATCCGTGCATGCACAGGAGCAACGGGAACTCTCGGAATCCTGCGTACAGAATCTAATCTGCATCAAGTCTCATACGTATGCTTCTGTCTCCCATTGACATGTTAGCTTATTATTAATTGACATTTTATCAACAACGTTACGTGCGATGCGTCCAGCCAAACATCGTCACATGTATCCTTTGACTTGCATTGCCGGACAGCTTCGTTTACTATTGCCTATTACGCCGCCAAACGGAACTCACGTATCGACTAAATACGTTGTATGTCTACAAGCAAAGCCTACAATTAGTAATTTATTCGGAAGCAATTTGTAATTCTAAAATAAAAAAAAGAAGTAATTTGAGTTGTGATTACACCATTAATTCGAGCAATCTCAAAAATTGCCACCCTCGCTCGCTGACCTACATTGCTTCCTTGGACTGAAATCAGCATCATCTTCACTTCTTTCCTCTGATCCGTCCTGAGGCCCACGCAAAGGTGGAGGAGATGATGATGACCCTAAAAAGAAAAGAAAAGAAAAGGCTTCGCTAGTCCCAAAGACGATGCCATCCCGTCCATCGGCACGCTGCTACAGTGGAGAGGAAATCTTTGACGGACTGTTCGCCATTAAAAAGCTGCTAATAGTTATTGATTAAACGCCACATTGAGTTGGGCTTTTACCCGACACTGCGCCAAACTCCATCATTATATTACTCCCGCTTCCCTAATCTCTCTTTTGCCGACTTAGTTCAGCCCCCGTTGGGTGGCCGTCCTCTCTCGCTTCTCTCTCTCTCTCTCTCTCTTTCTATATATATATATATACACACACAGTCAAAAGAAGATGAAATAAAAGAATAATCTCACATCATTAGAGATTAGATGAGTTGGATTATATACATTAATTTTGGTTTGAAATCTAATAAATTTAATTTTTTTTATTTAATTAGTATCAAATTCGATGTGTGTCATTTGATCTTTTGACATGTTATGAAATGGACCAAAAAGAGTGGGGTTATATACAATTGAGTCCCTCCCTATCTTACATGGGGGACAAGGGTTGTGGCCCACATTTCCCACCCGACCCATGGGCCCACCAGAGCCCAACCAACGACTCCCTCCCTCCCTCCCTCCAATTCCTGTGCCCCTCTCCTCGCTATTTATTGGAGCTTCTCCTACTGTGCCCGCGTCGCCTCTCGCATCGGTCATTTGCGGATTCGCCCCTAGCTAGGAGATATCGTGGGAGATGTCGACGACGGAGACAGGGAATAGCTCGACGACGGAGTCGGCGGTGTCCGGGCTCGACTACGAGGAAACGCAGCTGACTCTCGCCCCGCCGGGGGGCTCTAGATCCGAGCTCGAGAGGAAGCGCGGCTTCTCGGAGGGCCTTGGTCTCAGCCTCGAGACCAAGGATTTCTTGTCGGGTTCTTCCGATGAGCCCCCCATTTCCGGTGCCGGGGAGCCTTCCGCAGCCAAGTAAGTTGTACTTACTACTACTGATCGAGATGACGCACGCATTTGCCTCCCTCTGATCTCTCTCCACTGCCAGAGTTGATGGGTGTTTTTCTAATTAGAAGGGCCTCGGACCGTCGATGAGAGGACTAATGTGCCCCTCCCATTTATTAAAGTTCTTGGATTCACCAAGCCGTGCCTTTGCTCCACAAAAGTTCCTATTCTAACAGTGGTAGTACTAGTTTGTAAGACGAGATTTCTCTTCACATTTACATCGAGATACGGATGCTAAGCGTACGACTGGGCATTCCGTAAGACGAAAAGCTACTACTTCCATAATCCGGTGGTTCATCCTAAGGAAAGGAGAAAGAACGAAAAATCCAAATTTTTTTGCCCTTTTTTGGTTGAGGCGCAAAGGATAATCTGTTTGTTGACTTCAAGTGTATTCATAGCACTTCTTTTCCTGTTTTTTGACAGGGCACAGGTGGTGGGGTGGCCGCCGGTGAGGTCCTTCAGGCGGAACGTCCTGAAGAGCTGCACCTACGTGAAGGTGGCCGTCGACGGGACGCCCTACCTTCGTAAGGTTGACCTCGAGGCATACGCAGGATACCAGCAGCTGCTGACAGCCCTCGAGGAGATGTTCACCTGCTTCACCGCCCGTGAGTTCATTTCCTCTCTCTCGGCCACAATGCCATCCCATCCATCATGTATATATCATTTATTCATTCATCATCATCCTCTTCTGTTTAGTTGCTTGCTGAAATGGTCCATCCAGACAACTTGAAGCAGGGATCACTAGCATTTGATGATGACTGGTTTTAGAATGATTTACGGCAGGTAACTATCCCAACGAGAGGAGGCTGGTTGATCCTGTGAACGGGACAGAGTACGTTCCAACTTACGAGGACAAGGATGGTGACTGGATGCTTATCGGTGATGTCCCTTGGAAGTAAGTTTTCCCTTTCCTTGTATGGCTGTGAAAGTGAAACTGAAATTGCAAAAAGATGTTAAAAATTGCTTCAGGTGGTTCTCAAGTCAGATGCATGTTCACTACCAACTTATTAATCTTCAATTTTGACTTTTGATACTTTAAGAGTCACTCAACTTTACCATGATGCATAATAAATGAGACATTCCTATATTCTGTATTGGATTGTGTTTTTCCCTCTCAAATAGGTTCCTTCCTAAAGTAACATTCATTGGTGTCTATAAATGTGTTCTTTGAAGGATCTATAGAATTTACAAGTTGTATTGGTTCAGTTGAAGAGGATATTGAGGCATTTGGATTAGGAGAAAAGATGTCTGTACATGCTAGTTGTTAAATGGAAATGGAGGATTGGTAGAAATGCATTCTTTACAATCTGAGCAGTGTCGAATGTGGAAATGCAACTTTATGTCTGCAAATATCTTGTAAGTAGTCATAATGCTAAAGTTATATATGCATAATATACGATATTATGACATTATAGTAAGAAGGAGATGAGCTTCACTTTGTAGGGTAAGGTCGAGTAGCAATTTCCTAGGAAACATCGAGGGGTTTGGTTCACATGTTGAGGCTATTGACAAAGAAGAGCTTGAAGGGGCTATCTCAACCGTCCATGGCGAGCATCACGCCACTGAGAATAACTTTGTAGAGTGGTCAGAGCTATATGTCAAACTAATCTTGTCCTAGGGGTTTATGTTTCTGAAAATTGTAAGAAACAATTGGAAGACCCTTTTTCTCAATAAATTGAACTGGGAACTGAAGTTTCGTGCTAGTGGATGAACTAGAATGTTCAAACAATAGCTTCAAGCTGTTAGGACATGGTTTTTGTGCTGTGTTCCAATCTGATCAGTTCAAAGTCGCATCATTTTTTCCCAATTTTCCAAGTAGTTTAAATTTCATTCTTCTTACAAATTTGCTTGTTTCCACCGCTGAGTATAACCCAGTTTGTAAAGTTTGCACATGTCAACTTGCTTGCTTCCAACAAGAACTGAAGTATGAATGGTATCCTTATTGTCGTTCAACAGTTGTGATGGTATGTGTTGCACATAGCATGAATTTAACATCTAGTTCCCTGGAAGGAACAAGAATATCTGCACAAAATATAAATCGACACTTAACGCTTTAAACAACATACTCGAGCTTATTATGTGGCTTACTCTTGTAAGAATAACTAATCACAACTTGTCTTATAGCTAGTCTTCATGTTTAACTAAGCACATCCTGTGATGTGATTAACTAATTAAGCTTATAAATTACTCAGGCTTGTAGTTAGTCTTCATGATTAATTAATCACAACTTGCAATGCCAAATAACCCCCCAAAAAAAAGTCCTAATCAGATGCCTGATCTGATTAGGCATCTGATAAAAAACATATGGCCATATGTGCTTTTCTGGTTACACATCTGATTAATCACAACCTATTACTAAGCCTTAACAACTTATGGCCAGATTGATAAAAAAAACATATGTGCTTTTCTGGATTTTTTGTGGCTATATGATCCCCTTGAATGTATATTTTCTCAATGCATCCATCTTGGTATTAACCATGTGAGCGACATGATTGAATGAATTATCATTCGATAGATGCAGAATTGAGGGTGTAAATCTGATCGTTAAGATATGTACGTGTGATTTCTCATCTGGTACAGAGCATAGATATGATAAAATGAATCTATGATTTCTTCATTATTTGATCCATAATTGAGAGGAAACAGAGTTGTAGCAGGATATCAAATTTATGTGATTTTGAATCCAAAACCTTAAACTTTGTTCTTTTCCATGTCCTGTCAAAAAGTCGTACAGGGCTCTTAATTTGAAATGTTGAATTTGATGAGAGTTCTCTTTCCTGTTCTTTTACCAAGTTACTCTTGCTTTATTAATGAACCTGTGGTGTTCTCAAGACTTCTGCAAACATGTTGACAATTTATATTTATTTTCACATTAGTTATCTCAAGTATCTAGACCATCTTTATATGTTAATGGTTAAACATTGCTGATCTTGTAAAGATAATGATGAATTGAAATTTTGTACTGTGAATTTGGACTTGCATTAACTGTTCTATAGGACATCCCACTTCACCATGGTCTTGGTAAACTGAAGGCAAATTTGCCCATTATCAGACAAATCTAATCCATTTAATGTACCCATGGCAAATTTGCCCACAATTTGTTGATGAAGTCAACTTTCAGTTCGGTTATGTTGTATGACCTGTAGCTCGAAGCTTCATCATTATGTTGTAGGAGCAGCTCATATGGTTGATTCTTGCTTGCAGGATGTTTGTTGCTTCATGCAAACGACTTCGGTTGATGAAAAGCTCAGAAGCTGTCGATTTAGGTAATTTTGACAAACCTTCCACAATATCAATGGCGATTTTTTTTCTTTTGAACTCCGATCACTATGGATGGTGTGGAGCACATAGATGTCCATCTCTGAAAATCCCATGCTTATTGTAATATTCATTCCCACAGAGACATCTCCTCATTTCCTGTACTTATCACGGGCTCACGTTTAGTTTACTTTTTTTTTTTTGGTCTGTTATGGTTCTAACAGCTCCAAGAACACCCACAGGTTGCATCACTGCGAGGTGAATTGGGATCCACAACATCTCCAAACGATGCGATCATGTACAGAAGCAGTTTACATATGTTTTGAGTAGCATCCAGGAGAGTAGGAATAAGATAATTGTTGTCTGTGGGCAGATGTTTTTGGGTTTGTTGTTGGTGTGTGAGAATAAGCAGACCTGCGTTATTATCCAGCCAGAAATTTTCTTCTCGTGTTAGCATTTTGGATGAACATTGCTTTCTGATGCTTGATTGCCAAGGCCTTGAAAAGTATTGAAATCATTTATTTCTCGGTTACATTGGTGTTCATCGATGGCAATCAATTCATTCATAATACAATAATAAATATCCCAAAATTACAAAGGTCAATTATATATGTATATGGTTCGGTTGGAAGGACATCTCTCATATCTTTGTATATCCTTGGCAGGCAGGCAGGCAGGCAGGCAATCCCATCTTCATCTCTTCTGGAAGTTGAGCATCTTGATGGAAAATGCAAAGAGGAAAGCAAACATCAAAGGAAACGCCACCACCACCGCAGCCACCACCCCCAAGAAGCTATGTTTGAATCCAAAATAACTCCTCAAGAACTCCGACACCGGCAGATTCTTGTCAGTCATGACAGTCTCTATATCACCGAACTGTGAGGCGGCTAGACCATACAAGGTCCAAGCTACGGGACACGCCCAGTAATACCATCTCCACCACACCGGGATTTTCTGTGGACACGATGAACCAAGTCAGCGGATGTATGCCAATGGATCGAATGCGAAACACCTTCAAGAATCAAGCGAATGAAGCTTCAACTTACCGGCCGCGGAATAATGAATCCACAGAAAAGGTTCCATATTGCGTAGAAGAAAGCGGAAACGATGGAGGCGATGCTGTGATTGGGAGTGATACCCACCGCCATCATCCCGTAGAATGTGAAGTAGAGGAGAGTGAAGTACATGAAGAACAAGTACCAAAAGAACTTTGCAACAGTCCACTCGAATCCAATCATCGCGTAGACGATCACACCATATAGGGCGGACTGAATCAGAATGTATGGAAGCTCAATCGCCACCTGCGAGCGGAAGAACACTGCGAGTGAGTAGAGAAGCGTAGCGAAGCGTATCGTCAAATTGACCGGAGAAACAATGACGTACTTGTCCGAACGCGTAAGGCAAAGCGGAGTACATTCCAGCCGCTTTCTCCCTGTAAAAGACTGTTCGTTCGACTGCCACCACCGGCTGAACCGATGAACAGTTCTGTATCCCCATGAACAGGACCGCGGCATACATCGAACCTATCGCATTGAACAGATCTTGCTGAGTGGACCTGCAATGTGAGTTTCAACCACCGTGACTCCTCGGATCAATTCATCGAGTGGAGTGACAGGTCGAGGAGGATCGAGGACTTACGTTTTGCGGCCCAGGTCCCAGAATATGGTGCCGAACAGAAGAGCTACGACGGTGGTGAAGAAGAACCTCACGGCGGTGTACGGCGGATTCCTCCAGTACGACAAGTGCTGCTTCCACAGGCACGCCATGCATTGTACGGGAAATGACTGCGAGTACTGGGTGGGGAAGTAGAGGTCGCTCGAACCAGCAGGAGGAATGCTGAGATCCTTTATCAAGCTCTTGTTCCTCCTGAAATTGCAGAACACGCACGCACTCATGTGAGACATGATAGCATCTCGGAGAATCCTTACAGCAGGAGGAAGCACACTCACCGATACAGCTCCGAATTCCTGTATGTCTCATTGAAATTGACGCCCAGTATATTTTCTTGTGACTGCGAAGTCACTTCCAGCATCCATGTCGCGGGGTTGTAACCATCTTTGATCTTACTGATACCATTGATTCCCTTGGAAGAACAAACATCGAACACATACTATCAATCGTATTGTTCTGCTAAATCATACATATCTATCTATATATGTATAGTTTCCTCACCTCAAAATAGCTAATCAGATGGGAAGAATCACGACCGAGCGGGCCCACATATATCTCTTCCCCGCCACGCTTTAATAAGAAGAGCTACGAAAAATGCAGCAAAAACCCCCATTAGAAAGAAGCTTGATTGAAGCATGAATTGCGAACCTACAAGAAGCCTGAGAACTCTGCTCACCTCATCGAAAGCTTCAAATATGTCGATGCTGGGTTGGTGAATGGTACACACCACAGTCCTTCCGGTGTCCACTGTGTTCCTCACGGCTCTCATGACAATGGCGGCGGCCCTTGCGTCGAGCCCAGAGGTGGGTTCATCCATGAATATGATGGATGGGTTGGCGACCAGCTCCACAGCGATGGTCAGCCTCTTCCGTTGCTCGGTCGATAACCCATCTACTCCCGGCAACCCGACGAGTGCATCCCTCAGCGGCGTCAGCTCTACCAGCTCCATGACTTCCTCCACGAACATCTGCAACGACAAGTAGCTAGGCGTGAGTCTTTTGCATGGAGATTAGCTCAAAAGTTACGGTCTGCTGTGGGTGCTTCGACCAACCTTCCTCGTTTCAGAATCGACCTCAGAAGGTAACCGGAGCCACGCCGAGTAGGCGAGAGACTCGTGAACCGTGACATGAGGGGAGTGGATGTCGTTCTGTTCGCAGTATCCCGAGATGCGAGCAAAGGTCTCCTGCCTCTTGGGGTAGCCAGATATGCTGATGTCTCCTTCAATGTATCCCCCTGTCTTTCTCCCAGCCAGCACATCCATCAGCGTCGTTTTGCCAGCTCCACTCACCCCCATTAGAGCTGTAAGCACTCCCGGCCTGAAAGATCCACTGACGCCCTTCAGCAGCTCCAACCGGTCTTCTGCCACACCTTGAGCTTTCATTTCCTACATGTTTGTTCATCACGATCGTCAAAGGTGTCCAAGGAGATAGCAGCTGCAACATGTTCTTGAATTGCTCGTGAGGAAAAGAATTACCTGCGGCATGTCCACAGAGTACCTCACGTCGTCGAAGGTGATGGACAGTGGAGTAAACGGAAGGACCATTCCCTTCTTGTTCTGTTCGAAGGCCTCCCTCATGGAACCCAATGAGCTGCTCTTCCTCCCTATCCCACTCGCGCTCTCTGTACACCAAACTTTCAGTCGGTAAAACACGTCGAGAAATATGCAGCAGCGTTAGCACAACATATCGATAGGTCTCTCACTCTTGGATGCAGAGTGACGCACGGATCTTCTTCCTCTGGACGAGTTCTCCAACACTTCTCCGGTTAGATTGGCGTGTTTCTCCTTTAAGGTCTCTTCAGATAGAGGTGGCTGAGATTTCCCAAAAGCTGCAAAATACGATATGGTCGATCAAGATCTCAGTTGTCGATTCAGGAACTTCAAGTGAAACAAACTTGCTTGTGGAACTATACTCACGATCGAGGTAAGTGAGAGCCAAAGTGAAAAGAGCATTGAAGAGAAGTACGTAGCCGACCGTAGCCCCAAAGCCAATCCAATACCATCTGGCTTCGGGAAAGACACCACGGGACTCCAGAATTGCGACTCCCAGCGACTCTGTTGAATTCGAATTCGAAGTAATCTGTGGCGCAAAGATAGATCAAACGTGTCAACAAATCTTCTCATGAAAACTAGCGCTTACAATTCTTCTACTCGCTAAAAGCAATATCCTCTCACATGACTCCAGCTGTGCCCCAAGAATTCATTCACTGAGACTGCGTTCTGGGAGTACATCAACGGCGAGATCCAGTAGCCCCAAATCCACCATTTCTTTACTTTCTCTGCCACGAACAGGACGCCTCAGTGGTTCAGCCATTTGTGGAACTGAGATGTCTACGATATGGAGAAAGGAATCATTCGGTACTTACCTCGTGAAAGAATGAAGCCACCAAGCACCAGAAGAATGAGAAGAGCAAAAGCCCCGAAGGTATTTGCCACTATCATGTTCCTCCCGACGGCCCCGATGGTGCGGAAGAGTCCAGATGCCATCTGGTTCGTCACCAGCAGCAGCAGGTATTGCTTGAACAGCCTGTTACAGGAGAAACGTATGATATCACAAGGGTAGAATGGAAGGGCGTTGTTTCCCCAGTACGAACTCCACATCCCGAGTTCTTCTTACCTTCCAACATTTGGATCGAATCCAATGACGTAGTAGGTTGTGAAAACCCACACTGCAACTTCAGCAAATGCAATGGGGATCTTAAGGATCCATCCGGGTATCGTGTATGACCATGCAGGATAGAAAAGGAGATCTCTCTGCTTGAAGAAAACAGGTAGCTTCATAATGGTCATGGCAAGTTCAGAGAACCCGTTGAACATGATCGTCACTATCCCATAGAAAAGCGCGCCATTATAGATCATCCCGTCATCTATATCGTTCCGGTGCATCTTAGTACGCAGAAACACCGTCATCGCAATGACCGCCATGATGACAAGCTGTAAACAGAGGATCGCAGAAGATGAATCACCGTTCATGGTATTAAAGGCCATCGATCAAGGTAGGGAGAGGGTAGCTTACTTGAACGGCCTTGAAGATGTAGACGAACGAGTTCCTCTTCATCAGCAATAGTTCTCTGGCCATGTTTGCTTTTAACACCTCCGTCTTGCTCACCCCATATCTCGTGGTGGTAAGAGCAGCAGGATGGCTCTTGCTCTTATCAAACGGGACAGAAAGTTCTTCGGCTAAAGCCCGACCAATATGGAATTGTTGGAATGCCTCGGCAAATTCTCTAACGGGCACGTATCTGTAAGGTTCATCCTGGCGTGACCAGTACTGTTGTTGATCCTTCCTCGACGTTACCTTTGAACACAAAGTGAGTGTCAGATTGAAGATCACGACAGGAAGGAATAAATGGAACCATTTCTTACGGAAAACCTACTTCTTGCAGGAAGTCCGCGACACCCTTCCTCTCTGGGCACTTGAAGCCCATGGACTCGAAGAACTCGACGACATTTTCACGAGGGCCTTGATACACGATCAGGCCATCGGAGAGAAGAATGATGTCGTCGAAAAGGTCATACGTCTCCGGTGCTGGCTGCAGCAGGGAGATAACAGCAGTCCCTCCAAGAATGTGGATGGTTTGCCTGAGCGAGTTCACTATCTGGAAAGTCGTTGAGCTATCCAGACCAGTCGATATCTCATCCATGAACAGAGCTCTTGCAGGTCCAACAAGCATTTCACCTACGTCGAGCAAAATGGAAATCAGAGACACACAACCGGCAACAACATAACCGGCAATTCAACCATCGATGATATCTACCTGTGGTGACACGCTTCCTTTGTCCACCAGAGATGCCTCTCAGCATCTCATCTCCTACCATCGTGTCAGCACAGACCTCCAAACCCAGGATCTGTACAGAACGTTTAAATTAGTCCATTGTTCCCGAATCAATCATCTTGCTCGGGCAGTTTATGGGGTTGAGACAATCGACTAACATCTTCGTAGATATGATTAGAATAAAAGCTAATACCTTCAGTATGTAGTCTGTGGTCACATTGGTTTCTTGTCCTTTCATTGCAGATGCCTGCAGGAAAATTGACACAAGAGTTGGACATGATCCACGAGTAATTCTTCTCCAGTTCAATTCATTGAGAACCCCTGCTTTATCTAAGATGAAGTTGATCTATACCTTCATGAAGACATCTACGTCTGGATCTGGCTTGATGTTTGCTGCCTTCTCTCTCCTAGCTAACTCAGTTAACATATCTGAGGAACACCCACAAAAACCAGTTTAATCGTGATTCGCTCATAGCTTTCAAGCAATCGAAGACCGATAAGGTGGGAGGAACTTACCATAACGAGTGCCAACTCCTTGGCACCTCGCAGAGAAGGCTAATGTTTCACGGACTGTCATCTCCCCTATATGAAGATCATACTGGCTGATGTATGCAGCGGTTCTCTGAGGGACGAATTCTTTCATTTCATGACCGTTGTAGGTCACTTTTCCGGAGGTCTGTGGTTAATTTCCAGATGAAGGAAGTATCAGTCACAACCCAACAAAGAAAGAATAACATTATGGAACAGAGCATCGAGTCTTGTCTTTTCACCTTCAAATCAGAGCTGAGCTTTCCAGCCAAAGCCAACAACAGTGTAGTTTTTCCTGATCCCGGAGGACCTAAGAGCAAAGTCATCCTGAAGAACCAAGTTCCAGGCGTTGGTATTCGATTAGACAGAGAGAACAGTGTGAAGTAACGAGAGATGGGTCAAATGAAAAGAAAAGAAGGAAACATCGTACCTGCGAGGTTTGATGATTCCATTGACGTCATGAAGGATCGATAAAGGTTTCTTTCTACTCGGTAGTATATGCAAGTAATTTGCGGCGGTCTTTTGTTTCCACAAGGAGAAAAACAAGAACCGTGGTGATGATCAGTATGATATTTATCAGAACAGGAAGAAGATTTCGTTCTGCGTATGTGTGAACGGTGGTTATACCTCCAGTACGTTAGCGACGGAATTGAAGACGGTAGGCAATCCTCTGTTGCCCACGTGTGTCTCTGCTTCGATGCTTAGGTGCTCATACCGCACTTCGATGGTGGGAAGATCAATCCCAACTCTGCCATCGACAAAAGCAACCGAGACAGAGTTAGCAGCAGGAGCAGCAGCAGAAGGAGAAGGGACTACCAGTTGTCGCATCATTTTCTTACCGGTCGATACGGTCCTTGAGCTTGAGCAAGAAACGCTCGTTGTCCTCCTCGGCGACCCGAACGAGGCGCTCCATGAGGGTCTTCCTCTCCTGGAAGCCGAGCCGCTGGACGTCGACCTCTTGCAGCTGCTTGCCATCCTCGGCCAGCGTCAGGATGCCACGGCGCACGCGGTCGAAGGTGGGCAGCTTCTCGAGGGCGGCCCACTTGAGGGCCTCCTCGTCGTCTTCGTCTCGCGACGACCGCGAGAAGATGTTATCATCCCTCTTCCATATCGAACTATTCCTTCGCAAGCTCGCGATCCTGTGCACCTCGCTCGGTTCCATCTCCACCTCTCTCCCCCTCTCTCCGCCGGCCTGCGCCTCCTTTTCCAACCAAGGCAAAATCCTTATGAATGATGATCACAAGAAAAGAACGAGAGCCAAAACCGAAGCCGCTGTTCTTCCGCTCCTCTTCCTCCCCCTCTTAATTTTGTCTCCCTTCTTTGCTTGCGATGGAGAGAGAGACAGACAGACAGAGGATATCCTGTTTGGTGTGGGAAAGCCGAGCAAGAGAGTATAAATAGATGCGAGGACGCGTGACGAAGCTCTGCAGTAACAGACAAAGAGTGCACAGTAGCGGTGCTACGTTTTCTCCACGATAGTATGCGCGCGAGTGGTGGAATTAGCCGTCTGAAGGGGAAGGGAAGGAGAGCGACGAAAGTTCCCCTTCGAGACTGGTCAGAGAGAGATTGCTTGTCGACCGCCACCGTTCTGGTCCCTATAACGACCGTTGACCCTCCTGCTTCTGGAAAGAAATGGGTAGACGTAGCAACACAAACCTCCCCACACGTTTACCGACCAGTCCTAACCAACATCCCGGGCCCACGTTCTCTTGTCCCGCAAAGAAGTCGACGAATAAAATAATTGGTATAAGACCGGGTGTGTTTTCGTAGGTCAGAAAATGAGGCGTGTTGTACCACGAGAGAGACCGATGCTTCCCAGCCGCCTAAAAGCTCTTCTGACTGACGGCCGTCGGGAAGGAGCGAGCCTGGCGAGGTTAGCGAGTCAGCCAATACTACAAACAAGATAGATGAACTTGGCATTAGGTCGTAGCTTTTACACGTTTTTGGTGTTCTGATGAGGCGAAAGATGGAAGAAGACCGAGTCTGGGGATAGCTTTGACGAGAAACAAATCATTCGGTAGGAGAGGCTGCTTCCAATCCCATCAATCTAAAAAAAGGTCACAGGCCTCCAGAAGTGTAGACGTCCCGTGCCTCTCCTCCTCTTCGCAGCATGTGAGGAGAAAATAATTAAGCTTCAGGTTCTGCCTCCGTTTTCCAAGCGCCGCCCAGCGATGCAAAGTCCTTTGGATAACTTCTCTAAACAAAATTTCTTTTATTTTTTCTCCTGTTTAACATATTTTCTTATTTATTCTTATATAATATTTTTATTTTCTAAAAAATAAAATTATCCTGGCTTATGTTTCGTTCACTATTGTCATCGCCCTCGCCAATCTCGTCTTCCCGTTCAATCAAATAGATCATCTCACTCTTCGACACAAAGTTACGTTAAAACTCTCTAACTTAATTTTTTTTTTTGTCACCCGTTGTGCCACCAATAACGAACCCCTCATCGATTGCTTGACATCCCTCCCACTACCATCGCATCGATCGTTAATCTCCACGACTACTAGTAAGATGAAGAAGCCCATCATTGATGCTAATCTCCCCCCTCCTCCTTTGGCTAATTGGGTATCCCATTCTTCGACGTAAAGCTACGTGAGAGTACCTATGAGATTTTCATCATCGATAGTAAACCCCTCACCTACACACAGTTAATGAAGGATTAAGACGATAATGGGAGCATGCGAACAAGGATTCCTTGTTGATGAGGGTATATGAGCAAAGTGAGATGGAGGTTGCCATAGTAATAAGTGATAGAGACCGGAACTAAGATTAATTTTATTTTTTTAAAAAATAAAATATATGCATAGAATTAAAGTCTTTTGTTGCCATTTCTGTTTCTCTGATTGAACAGCAGTCGTGGGTCCATTTGAGTGATTGATTTCTTAGCCAAACAAAAACTAGAACAGTGGTCCTTTCGTCACCCTTTGGACTCCATCACCATCGACCAATAGTTTGGGTGATACAGGAGGTGTCCTTCCATCAATATCCATAAGCGTTTCTTAGAGTCTCCAGTATTCCTTTTCCATTAATGACTATCTACGTTGAGTTTATTGATTGTATGAATTTTCTTTTTTCCTGTATGCACGATAGATATTAAATGGATATTTTGTCGGTAAAAAAGATGGAGAGATGATCTTTTTAATGATAAATCGGATAAAGGGTTTGAACTGTGAATCGAAGAGTCTGATTCAGAGTTCAAAGAACAGATGCTGCTGCTAATATGGGTTGAACACTAAAGAATTTGAATCATACCTGGAAATGCCATTCAAACTGCACGAGGCTATTTTCCAGGCTTGCAATCGGTCCACAAAGGAAGGAATGGCCGCCATCATGTCGACCCTTTGACCGTTGACCATTGCATTCAGGTGACGACACTCATGACGTGCGAGGCAATAAATCTTGGTTTAGTGTCCGGTGTCTAGAAACACATTAATTATCGTGGTGATTAGGAGATAGTCACACGAGATTAAGATCCAAAGATTAGTCTCACGTCGATACAATTTAAATTTCTCAAAACGAAACAGAGTCATTAACAGTAGCAACAAAATAAATTAGGTTGTGATAGATAGGTTTATTATAGTTGGCTGTAGGAAAAGTCGAGGGATTTGGTAGAATAGCTTGCACACGGACATGTATCACAAAAGTCCATATGATCATTAAATTAGTGGAGAATCTTGAATGATTCATAAAATAGCCATAAATATTTCAATATTCAAAAAATAATTATTTGAAATCGTTTTTTAGTGTGTTAGGATGGATGACTATTGAAATCAAACAAAGATTTACTCTCTTATCATAGGGCTACAAATCAACATGAATAAACATGCTATCCTTTTCCAAGCACTAAACACAAAATCTATAATAGCTTGGGAATCAAGCAAGGATCTTTGGCTTTGGAACTATCTTGGTGTTTACATCCGTCACTTTCGGTTGGAATAGAGGTATGTTTGTCTGATTAATCTATGCTAATAAACTCTGTAATAAATGCTATGTCGCTCTAATAATCTTAATCGACATCTAAATATCTAACAAGAACATCTCTAGGAATAAGGGACATAACCTTATCAAATCTACCATCTGTACTAGACATAAAACTCATCCCTCTCCTCTCCTTAACATCAAGGACGGACAAATACTCTCCACACTTCACCAACAAATAAACTTGTCAAACCTTTGCCACTTGCTTGGCATCTGCAAGATGGGTTTCCAAAAGTCATTGGAAGTGGACAAAAGACTTCTATTTGGAATGACCATTGGATAAGTAGCACCGCTTTAGCATCCTGACCTACTTCCCGTCAACATGGTAGGCAGCCAGCCTCACCCTCTTTTTGCTCTCGCAAGCGATCTCATGACATCCAACCTGTGGGCCAACAGCCATCTAGAACCTCTCCTATGATCCCTATGAGGATTTCTAGGTCCGAACCTCTCGTTCCATGAAAACGATCGCACCGAAGAGTACATACAAATTTCTACAAGATATGTGGGTTCCATGGATTCCACCGATTGATTCAGTGAGTTAAAACATTTATATGAAAACTTGTATGGAAAAGGCTCCCCATTCTCTATGGAAACTTTGTATCATATGGAAGCTTCGTTTTTAAGATATATATAAATATATATTATAAAAAAAAGAAATGATGAAGGAGATGCTAGGAAGTATTGATTGATATAGACCTGTAACGTTCTCATATGATGTGATTTAAGAAACATATATAACATACAATTTTTTTCTCGATATGCTCCGATATCTATACAAACAATTGTTTATCTTGACTCACTTGTATTACTTACTACTTACTATTCCTTCAGCCAACGTTGTTCGACCCAGTCCGCCAGGTTAGATGATTTATCGGGTTATTCTTGAATTGGATACGGATCCAAGAAAAATCTTATTTATGAACACCTTAACTACGGCAACCCAGACATGACTTTGGTCCCTGATGACTCCACCCTTCTCGATGCTGTGAGGATTCAACCGAACAACCACCGTGGATCTGTGATCCGATGACAATCTCCGTTCCCTCTAGAATCTCGACTATTGACTTTTTGGCAAGCATTCCAGATGTTAGAATCGGTCAAGTTCATATTCCGATATATCCTCAACGATTCATTGATGTCAATGTTTTGCTCGTGGATTCATATGGTAAGAACACGTTGGGCTTTCAGCATCGCATGTTTACTTCAACGCGTCACGTCATTCATGCATTTAAAGTCGTGTACTCGTTGGAAGTTACAATGGCTTTCAGGTTAGATAGACGCCTTTACTGGGGTTTTGTGAGCTCACTCTATGATCTCTCTCCGTCTCTCTCTCGCGTTGCTGTCAGTGCAGACAGGTCATCCCATAGCGAACGAGCACTGCTTTCTCGGAGTAACTCGGACCCGATCAACCATGAAGAAAACCAGTTAAGAAAGTCTCAAGTAAATGATGTTGCAAAATTAGAAACATCTCCTCCCTTATCCTGCAATTGTTTTTATCTTTATATAAGCATTTCCGAAGGTTTATAGAACCATGAAGTGGTGGTATAGTAAAGCATATTCAGCAGTAATTGTAGCTCATTTTGGCTATTCAGCTTACTCTTGCGCCATCAATCAAATCAACAGCAATGCATGCTATTTAATATGCCGTTGCAACTCCAAACATTCAAGTGCTCGACCTAATCAGACACACAAATTAATGCCTGTTGCCCAAAACATTCAATGTACTGACTACCCCCAAAGGGATTAAGGTCAGCTGTGAAGATTTACAAAGATGATTGAGCTATATGAAAAAAAAAGTAACCAAAATTATTTGAAAGATCTCATAAGCTGGAGAGTATCAATTTGTTGGTACAAATAAATACATAAGAGGATCACTTTTTTGCATGATCTTGGGCAATACTTTTACTCAGCACATAACAATCAGGTGGGCTAATGTTCGTATAGTAATTTTGTATTGTATCTACGACTTCAAATCCAAACTTTTTGTAGAAGGCAATTGCGTCATCATTGTTAGTCTGCACATGCAAGTACACCTCCGAGATGTTCTGCTTGCAAGAAAGATCCAGTACATGACTCAACAACTTTGTACCTGTCAAACACAACTTTGTACCTGTTTAAGTTGATGATTTTTTCTAAAACGAACTTGATTTACCAATTACATTTATATATAAATAAAATCTAAATGTCATTGATCCTAGGTGAAACACCAAAAAAGCCCTCCAAAACAGGAAGTTAGTGTTAGATCTGTATATACACCAATAAACATGATTACTATGGAAAATCAAACACAGAATACCAGGCTAGAAATAACCAATTTATCAAGTTCTCTCTCAAAGATTTTTGGTACCAAATGCAGTGTGCAAGTATCGACATAAAGTTATGAATAGATCGAGTCTTCA